GCTCCAATTTGCAATTGTAAGCCTTACTGACTCAATTAGCAGTATATTGCAGCAAATTGTCTCCTTGAGACAGGCCAGAGCCAATAAAATCCTGAGTCTGGAATTACTAGAAGTACAGCAACTCAGGCGGGAAGTTCAGGAGTCCCTCAACCGCAGGGAGTCGTAAATACCGGTATTTTACGACTCCCTGCTCAACCGGAAATCCATAGGCACCCTCTCTTGCGGGAAGCACAGCAAAATTTGGCAATGTCTGGTGGGAAGTTGTACAGCACTGCGGCAGGAGACTTGAACTCCCCACGTGCACGTACAAACAAATGTTTCCTCGCTATACGCGCTCGACACAGCCTCAGGGTAGTATCAAGCAAAAAAGTACGAGATACAGTTTATGGACTCTTGGTAATCTGGGCAAGAGTACATAACCCCAGGGGTTATGTACTCTAGCAAGAGTACATGAAAACCACATTTTCATGTACTCTTGCTAATAGAGAGGTTCCGGGGTACGATTTTCCGTGCCAAAATCCGTGTGGGCGCTACGGATTTTTTCCAGGCGTGCTCCATACGATTTTTCGGCACGGAGAATCCGTGTGGACTGGCTTTCACACGAACCATGTTTCGTATGGAGATTTTGCGTCATCGGGTGCAGAAAGATTTTTCGCGTACAAATTTGGTACGAGAAACATGGATTTTCCGCGGGAAGTTTTGATTTCGGTACAAATTTTCAAAATAAAAAGGCATAGCGCGGGAATGTGACGTGTTTGCGATCGTAACCTAGGCAATGACGGCAAACACATAAGTTCCGTACTCCGGAACATTTTACTGCTCGAAAATGACGTATAAAAAATCCGTAGCGCCTCTACGGATTTTTGCACGAAAAATCGTACTCCGGAACCTCCCTATTAGGGCATGTTCGATTGGTAGGATCGGGATCCCGATCCACCGGATCCACTGGATTCGCACCCTTTCTATTGGTCGAATCCGGATCCGGATCCTTCGGATTTGGATCCGGTCAACCCACCTCGGGGAGCAGGGTTGACCGGATCCAACGGATCCAAATGTGACCTTTGTGCGTATATGGCGGGTAAAAATCATTTTTGTACACATTGTGGTACGCACACGTGGATGGAGATAGAGCTTGTTGACTTTTTGTACGACGCACGCGATGAGTACGACGTTCACCCTTTTGGGTGCCTTGTGAGCGCCATTTTCAACATGGCAACAGTCAAGGTCCAAGATAAAGTGTTCAGTTGAATCTGAAGGATCCGAGGGATCTGAGATCTGGATCCCGATCCCGATCCTTACCAATCGAACATGCCCTTAGTAATTATAGCAATAAAAACTGCTTTATGGCAGTTTTCTAAAAAAAGTTATTGTGTTCTAGTCCGTGGACCCCGTCTAAAAAGTAAGAAATTAACGAAATGTGATAGCTGAAAATTAAAATTTCACACAAAACCTCACAATAATCACAACACTTGAAATGCTGCTTTCAACACTAAACTTGTACTGCACCAACAATTGGCAACATGCATGCATAGGAAAGAGAATCACGAGGGGAAAAGGTCTTCTACATGTAGCTTTTCATTCTGTGTGTGATTATTGTGAGGTTTTGTGTGAAATTTTAATTTTCAGCTATCACATTTCGTTAATTTCTTACTTTTTAGACGGGGTCCACGGACTAGAACACAATAACTTTTTTTAGAAAACTGCCATAAAGCAGTTTTTATTGCAATAATTTCTTTTGTTTTTTCTGTCACCAATCAATGGAATGCCCTATATCAATTTCCTTTCTTTTCATTTTGCTGACTCGTACAGCTCTATCTTTTGTTTTTGGTGCGTGTTTTTGGCCGTGATGCCGAGACCTCAGGTCGGCAGAGCCATCAATGCCCCACCATCACTGCTAGGCCTTGACGGATTATGCTAGCATAATTTTTCGCATAATTCCTACCAAAATGGAATAATCGCATAATTCGAGGCAAATTGCATACGAATCGCATAAAATTGTAATAATCCGCCTGTTCGCATCAAATTCCATACAGTTGTACTACAAGTGCAAGTACAAGTAGATGCACTAGGAAGTTGTAGGTTTACAACTCCCTTGATAACATGTCCAGTCCACTACAATCAGTGATGGTCGTAGCTGGGTCGGACGGTGCGTTGACCCCGTTGAACTTTTGCTACTACAGTACAACGCCCTGTACAAAAAAATTCCCCTGTTATTTTGCACAGAACCATTATGCATTAGCAGCATACATGTATGTGAGCATAATGCGGCATAATATGGTAGCTTTTAGCATAAAAATAGCATAATTCTGCAATTTTTTCAGCAATGCGAAAAGCATAATTTCACGAAAATATTAGCATAATCCGTCAAGGCCTAATCACTGCTGCGTCTCGCTGCAGCCCCTGCTCAATAGTTGTCACGTTCGTCCTAGGCTGCATTCGATTGTAGAAACTGGATCCCGATCCCCGCCGACCAGATCACTTCGATCTGACGGATACAATCGAATGTGCACAACCGATGATCCGTTTCAAGGCCTTAGCAACCGCGTTGCTACAGCTCATCCCGTAGTATCTGTACGCGTTGTGGTAAACTCTTGGCCTAGTGTACGCATATTGCGAGTTTTGAGTAGATACTAGTCGTACTATCGAAATGAATCCGTCCAATCCGTCGAATCCGTCTCTGGTAGGTGGGTTGACTGGATCCGAATCCGTGCTCTCGGGATCCGGATTCGTACAATCGAACATGCACAAATTTGGCGAATCCGGGTCCGGGGCTGATGGATTCGTACAATCGAACATGCCCCTAGTCTCAGTATCATTGTCTTTCTTATTATTTTCGAGCTGGGAATGTGAACATAGTAAAAAATAAATAAAAATAAAAAATATGTAAATGATGGCCTTCACATCATATCAATACCGTATTATACGCATTGATGTGCAAGCCTTTTCTTGCAGAATATGGCACTAGCATGTTCTTCTGCGGGGAAACATGTGAGTAGTGGTGGACCGTGGTGATACTTTTTTTTATACGGAGGTCATTCTGTGCATGTTGCTGTAGCAGAATTTCATGACTCATAAAATTGTCTTGCCTTTCAGATATTTCAGATTTCCCCACCCTCGATCAGATTTATTTGAGAAATGTAACCAGGTGCGTGTCGCAGATGTTTTTGTTGATTCTGTGTTTATAATGGTTTATAATCATGGGTTATCGTGATAAGGTCATCCTGCATCATATTGCACTGAAATCGTAACCCTGTTGATGTCGATACAACTTTTGGAAGCAGTTCAATGACTTCAAACTGTTAGTCCTCGATTTTCTAAAACAACACAGCAAAGGAGGAACAATAAACATGTATTAAAATGTAAACAAATACATTGCTGAGTCCGACACCTCGTTCCAACAACTACACTGGTCCTGAGGATAAAAGGGGCAAGACTATGGTTGGAGGTACTGAGAGATAAACAAGGCACTCCATAATAATAAAATCTTACACATCTTTTGGTGAGTATAAATGATATCCAGTCGAACCTCTTTAGGACGAACACCAAGGGACCGATGGTATTTATTCTGTGAGTTTGTCTAAACCTATTTTATAACCAGTGAATACAATTATTTCTCCAATAGACATACGAATAGATTTCTTCTACAGCGAAAGATTCTAAGCCACAGCGACTCATTGACTTGTCTCGTATGAAACAAATGAGTCACTAGAGAGGTTCTGCAAAACGAAAATGCGTACAAACTTTCGTTCCACGTCATGAAGTGCGAAACTTCGCACGAACTTTCGCAACTTTGGACGCGAAACTTGCAGGGAACGCGAAATGAACAGTCGTACACACTTTCGTGAGATTGGGTCATGGCGTACGTGCACTTGGCCTGCGCAAACTACGAAAATGTGCAGAACGCAAAGTTCGTGCAAAAATTCGTACACACTTTCGCAAGGACTGTCGCGAAACTTCGTTCGAATTTTCGTTTTGCAGAACCTCTCTACTGAACGTTTCTTTAGCAACATGACGGCAACTGAAACAGCACCAGAGAAAGTATGATACATGTACAGCACATTCTTGCAGGTACTACAAACAGATTGCAGATCGTAATTCTTGCTTTGGCGGCACGAAACTTCATTTGGGGCAGTGCTATCTCGG